GGTAGATTAGGTGTCTCTCATCTTCCGGATAGGGGCCCNAAAGACTCCGCAACTAGACAGTTTGAGACACTGAAGGTCAAGGCAGCAAACTGACAGCAGTGACGTTATTGTTGTCACTTCACATCAGATCCGAATGCTTGAGGTAGTATGTATGCCCAATTGAACTGTGCACTATATGTTGACCATAGACGTTCACATTCTTTCCCTATCCTCCAAAACAGGTCCAATTTCTATCCTCCTTATATATTCTCACTTAATTTGTTTGCAATATGAGTTTGACAGTGATCAGAGAGGTTCGCTTCATCTGATTCCATTGCACGAAGATGATGATGATGATGATATTTTCTTTTATCTGAAATTTTACATGCACACACACACACACACACGCAAGGCCCTCTTCTCTGAACCTGCAAGTTATACTTGATTGTTTTTCTTCCCAATCTCTTAACTCAACCGAATTTCTGAAGATAAGATGCTATATGAACCCGGTTGGATCAACTTATTCGAGCCAACTACCACAAGGAAGGATACAGTATGGAACACGGACTGAGGAGTCTACTCATCTACTCGTCACCATTGTAGTCCAGTTGCAGAGAAGCGCACAATCCAGTGCGACCCCAGTTACGGAAATGGTCCTCAAATCGGTAATCATTTGTGAACATGGTGGGCCCAGGAAGAGCAGCAACGGTTCCCGTTGACCTGATGAATTTTTTTTGGAAGGTGTCTTCCTTATAAAACGCCACAGATCTGAGTGCGGTACTGTGTTAGGATGAATTGGATCCATCACTAATGAGCTCACTGCCATTGCTACCTCACGGGTTTTAGTCAGATGGGCAAAGGCCAGATGCGCAATCTGGAATATCAAAACCGAACGAATCTGGATGGAGTGACCACTTGTAGCCCGATTATCGGTAATCCCCGTATTAGAACATTAGAACAAGCATTCTAATCATGCCAGGGTGTTGCTTGGAAGCGAAGTGTCTCGTTTTACAACGGTCGAATTGACAAGCCAGAAAACTGAAACTCTCAACTTTCAAAAGCAGACTCACGTAGTTTGTCCAAATATGAGAACCTCGTTGCACTTAAACAGCCAAAGCATTAGATGTGGAGATAATATGACGATCATATAAGTTCCAAGTGAGTACTGAAGGATTTGATTCAATTTCAAATTGTAAATTCGTCGTGTCAATGAAAAATGAAGCGTGAACTGAAAAGCTAGAAAGCACTGGACAGTTGTTTCGACTTGTTTGGGTCTTATCAACAGTGCGAATCCTTCGATTCAACTGGGGATCGAACCCGGAATTTCATGGGCAGAACGCAAGCATGCTACCCACTCGGCCATCGGGTAGCTGATCATGTAATTATCGCTTGTTGTGAAGAAGTTCGCCACCTAAACTCCGGTTTCTGATACGTTAAGATTCCAAGGGAAAATGCAGTCTACTATCTCTGTCATCGCAAACCTGTAGATAACTCCGGAGTGCATTTTGTCACCTTTGTTCTGAGCATGCAAACCAACATCTATGTGACTTCAAGCAAAGTACTGTCCTCCAGGATCACTACATCATCATTCAAAACCTGATCGCCGTCTAGGCATAACCCAAAGTAGCTACTAATGTGACGAAGTAAGAATTCTGATCCATCTTACAAAGTCTTATCAATTGTGTACTATGACGAGATTCAGTTGTTGTTACAAGAGACTGAAAATTGTGATCTGACCTCTCGAATGAGTTCACTCGCCATGTTCTGGAAAATGTGAACTTGGCCAACTTTGTCAAAGTGGATAGAGATTGGTGAATTCGACAGACATCAATAGATTTGCGGCACGGGCTTTCAGTATCCCAAACAGCATCTAGGTACATGGTACTCAAAGGACGGTCTCTTAGCGCAAAAGTCGACCACATTTGTTTGATCCCTCTGGAGTTTATCTTTCGAGGACTGCCGAGCATTTTGCAGAGCAGTGATGGAATATATAAACTATGTAGATCACGTCATTCTGCAGCTCCATGATCCAGTAATGTATGTGAGCTAGGATGTTACCGCACAGCTAAATGCCTTTTCCTGTCCTGGAAGTGTAGGGAAAATGCCACCTCGACCAAACTGACCACCGTGATTAACATACAAACCGAAAAAAAACACAGCAGAACATCAGCGGAAGCAGATCAACACGATGATCTGTGGGACTGCTAAAGGAAGCTAGGAAGAACCTAAAATTATCTGAAAGAACGGTTCTCCGAAAACGCTTTCAAACCGACAGCCAGATCAGGGAATTCCACCTGTTTGGAAGCATTGACCGTTGTAGAATTCCAAGGGTGGCTGGTGATCCACCAGGGCAATAGCGAGAGGTAATGGATAGAAGTGGTTGAGAAAATACAGATCGCATCAGGAACCGATGAATTTGATACACTTTTCCGACTAACCTGTNTAACCTGTAAAGCTTAAAATGATCTACCAAAACCCGAGTCTGTTCTCCGTGATGCAGCATTGCAGTTAATTTGAGAATAGAGTAAGAATACAGAAACGGGGAATTCTGATCAAATTCCTAATCCATTTAAAAGTAATGCAGATTGTTGCAACGATCGACGAAGTACACTGGCCTGCTGTTTCATCCTATTTTGAGACTCACCAGCAATGCGTACTTGTTGTGTCCCTACAACAGTGCACGGTGCATATAAAAAATGAACGGGCTTATCCAAACACTCACCGTCCTGTTCCATCATTTATGAACACAGCAAACCTATCCCTCACAGCTCAACATGAACCATACGATGTCAGTTGTTCGCCCCCGGGTGTGACAAAAATCTCAAAGTTAGTCACTCAGACGGGGAATACAAAAGCAGCACTGGATTTTTTTCGCGTGTTTGTCTTGGTAGATTGACAGTATTTTCTCGCGATCCTACGCTATATGGTAACACGAGATATTTGCCAGTCAGTGTATTTTTATGTGGATTCCCCAAAACGATGACCGGGGGAGATCAGTTTGATTAACGCTGTCACGACGATTTGTCGCACACTGCTACCCCATCCATTTACAACTGCAAGAAATACTCCCATTCAACAGAGGCGGTTGTAGTCTACCAAGCTTTCAACGTCTCTTGGGAGCTACTATTCATCCAGAACTGCACGATGGCTAGTATATGGTGTGAAATCTTTCCAATTTGAAACATAGTTGCCTACCCTCGTTAGAACTATTCAACTTAGTCATCGGTTGGACAAAGATGACCAGCTATCTCGACATCCAGTTGCATCAAACATTTTACATCTCAGATCTGGAGTTTTCGGATAATGTCCTCATCCTTAGTGAATCTCCGACCACACTTCAACCGATTTCTAACCGAACCACCCTCTTTACAACCACCATCGCCTTCCAAGTTAAAATAACGAAAACAAAGGCCCTTTTGGAACCATGTGCTCAGTAGCTATTCGTCAACGACCGGCAAATAGTGAAGGTACCATCCTTCAAATACCTCGGTTCAGGCTCACTCCTAAACGACCGATTGAGGGATGAAATAATGATAACAATCGACACTGCGTGCAGAGGGTTCCTGCTGATATATCACATGCTCTGGATCTACAGTAAGACCGGCTCTCAGGCTAAGATTTGCGTCTTCTGTGGCACCGTCCGACTCGCACTCATCCACGGGTGTGAGAAACTTGTTTAATACGAGTCGTGAACACCAGAAAGTGTCTACAGCTTATCCTTCAAACCAAGTTGTAGGAAAGATTGTTCAGCAACAAAGTAAGGGGACGAGGATGTTTTTCGAATAACTGTTCATATTTCTTCATCGCATTTGGATGCGAGAGTTCAAGACCCTTTTACCGAACCTCGGTAGGGCATTGCCACACACTGCTTCGCACCTCGTTCTCTTGACGGTCAGTCGAAAACGTGGACTACTGCTGTCACCTCACCTTTTGGAACTAAACGTGGATGAAGATTTGTACTGATGTGACATTTATTCAAAGCATAGGTGGCGATTATCCATAGAGCCGACTTATCTTCTGACAGTGGGAAATCGCGCAAAGATAGAAATGCAAGTATAATCAATAGTGGCAGTAGTGTTCCCTGTCAGAATTGTTTGTCCAAACGGAATCATTACTCGCGAAAACCATACTTAAGCATTCGACAACTGGTTCTTGGTCCAGTACCTGTGTACGCCACAATTATTCATCCCATTGAAATAGGTGAAAAGTGTGTTCAAATATATTCAAAAACGGCATGTATGAATGTAGTATATGTGTATTTTTATGCAAAAAGAACAAAGTACTTAGTTTCCAGTGCATTCAGTTCGCATTCACTTGAATGTCAAATAGGGTGGAAATTTGGAACGGGAGCGGTTCAGGGTGGGGAAAAATTAGACTATATAGAGTATGCCATCCGGCCAGAATGCAGAAAGAGAATGGTGAATGATTTGGCGAAGTGTGGCAGAAGGTGAAACAGGATGAGTGGGTGGATGGGCAGTAACTGAAACGTATTCACAATGTTAATTAGTGTTGAACAAACATGTTCATACAACGCTCTGAGATTGGTATACGTAAACTGAGTAGGATTTCCTCGGATAGTCGATACGCACTGCTGCTTTTGTGTGTGTGTGTGTGTGTGTGTATGTGTGTGTGTGTGGAAAGGCAGAAGCATGTGACAATCTTCACGAACTTTCTTGTCTGTGTAAGTTTTCCACAGGACAGTGACCGTAACGTGTTTGTACGCGACAAAAGACATGGTAGACGTTTGCGTATAATCCAGGAGTCAAATCATAAGAATAAGATAAAGTAGAGAAATGTGTTGGAGAGATTGAGTGAGAGAGGGTTGTGGACATGGGCGAGGAGGGGAGGGTAAGATCAAAATGCGCAACTTTATTTACATTGATCCTCGTTCATTTGGGATGGATATCCGTTTGGTATAGTTTGTACACTTAGTTGTAAGCCCTGAACTTCTGGATTCTCGTCTATCGTACACACAGATTAGTTAACTGAGAATGCGGATAGGCAGGACGGAATAACATACGTTAGGTGGACAAAGGGGCCCGAGAAGATGCTCCAAGTGGAGCCTGTGAAAGACCTGGATGTAAATAGGACCCGGAACCGGCAAAGCCAGTCGGTGGTGCTGTATTGGACAACAAATTTAGATTGAATGGAGTTGGACTTGGAGCACGGAGAGGCGAATGATTCGAGTTACTCAGTTGTGGGGCAAATAGGGCCAGTCCGTTTGTGCTACTGGAAGTTACTTGATTGGCAAAATTGGAACTTGATGGCATGATTCCGTGACCGCCAGCACCAAGTAATGAATCTAGTTTGGAGTTGTTCGACATTGTGAAATCGCCACGTGATGGGATCGAGACGTTTGGCGGGATTTGATTGCTGATTGTTGGAGACAAAAGTAATCCATCCGCACAAGTAGACGGGGTTTTAGGGAAATCATGTGGATTGGAATACATAGAGCTTGTCTGAAGGATACTTGCTGTTGGAACACTCAAGCCTTGAGCTGTGTCTGTTGTGTCAAAGTTGGACATCTGCGATATGGGAGAGAAACAGAGGGAGAGATAATGAACTTCAAACGCAAAGCACACAAATTCGTATCATTCGTCAAATATACAGTATCATATCCAAATCGGGAGCGGGTTTCATCGAAAAAATTGCTTGTCGCCCTCGAGATATTATATTTGCATTGGAGTGTTCGAATAGGACACAACAAAAAAGAAGCAATTACGTCGTAATGAAGAACATTGTCGTTACTTCTTTCTCGTTACGGTCAATCCAACCACCCACATAATTCCACAAGGCAGTGCCTAGACGAGAACAGTCATTTACTGCGAATAATGGTCAGGGTATCAGTAGATGGGCATTCATATAACAAAATATCTCATATGGAACGAATCTTCAGAATTACCACACGCACACAGGTTAGTTAATGGAATGGTCCACTATTAGATGCGCGTCCTTGTAGGTACCATACTGAGCAGCAGTTATTCACTCCAACAGGCCTTGTCCATTTCTGACTGTCGAAAGAAACCCCCAATCGCATCTTTTACGAGCTACTCACAAGTGTGAGTAGTATCTCACAACACATACAGTGATCTAACATTCACAAAATACTTTAAAGTTGTAGTGTGATGGTCATTTGCGGAATGCTCCTTCGCGAATACTTGAGCCACGGTGATTTATGTGCAAGGTTCTCGTAACAAGTTTGCAAAGATGGTTTAGATGCGCTCTCCTAACAATGCCTTCCAGTGAGACCGAACAACTGTAAAACAGTTGCACAGTACCTCGCCGCGTCGTGCATGATTGTCTCTTTACAACAAATTAATTTTAATTAATTATATAATATAATACAATATTGCATTATATTGTTGTATGCTATTAGAGCGGAGGTGGCCCGGTGGTAAATTCACCAAATTATCACCCCGGACGACGTTTGTTCAAATCCCACCACCACCGCTTAACTTTCCCCATTCTGTGCTGCATAGCATCCCTTCCTGAAAATTGTATCATTTTATACTCAATACACGGAAGGAAAAGGAAAAGAAAGAATTAAATTATGTGTATAGCTGTCCAATGTTGTGAACTGCCAATGGTTGATTACAAACATTAGTCTCGCTGGTCTGTATTGCGAACTCACCTTTCCCATGTCGCTGATTTTGAACTGTCCATCTTAATTTTTCCTCGTGTGCATCCTTCCCCGGAGGCGATCCTGTGTGTGTTGCCAACACAGGTCATTTTCGTCATCTTGGCGACGACGCATGCCACTCTTGTATACCTGTCCTAATACTGGTACATTCGTTACTTCTCGCCCTAGCGCGCGCTCCCGCTCTTTCTCGTATGTGCGCGCACTCGCTTTTGACCGTTGAATCATTCGTTCAATGGTTCGTTTGTTCATTTTCCACTCTCTCGCACTGCCCGGTGTGTGCATACACCGTTTGGCAGATTGAGTAGGTGCATCGGGCTCAAACGTAGTAACGGATCGTTTAAACGAAAATGGGTTCCTTTTGGGGCGGTTCATAAATCTATCACAGCGGCTAACAACTGCAAGGCTGACTGGTGAACTGAATTCCATAATCGCAAGCACTCAAACCGCCACGCTTCCCTTCATCCCCCTCTATGTCTCCCTCTCGCTGTCT